AAGTCTGTTATTGGTGTATAGGAATGCATGTGATTTTTGCACATTGATTTTGTATCCTGAGACTTTGCTGAACTTGCTTATCAGTTTCAGAGGATTAAATATTATCTTTTAATAGTTGGAGATCAAACACCAAAGAATATTGTAGCAAAACTGGATTAAAAAAGCCATTTTATAATGTAAAAATTCTGACAATGCACCACAAAACTTTTGAAGTGAAGAAAATTGCTTCTTACTCTTCTTTAAAAACCTAAATTAAAAGGATATTCTAAAGTGAAGGTTTTTTTCCTGGAAGTGATTTAGAAAACACAGGCAATAATTTTGTTTCTTAAGAGGAAAAAAAATACTATTTTATTACATTTGGATGAGATTTTATTTTTTAGGAATCACTGCTTGGCTGTGAGTAGTTGTTGCTTGCTGAATGTTATTCACACTTCCTTCCACATAGCAAACTCATGTGTACGAGTCTTAACTTCTGGGATGGGTTGGAACTCTTCGTTCTAACCCAAGGGCTGCAGGTCATTATAAACCACAAATTATTCCTCCCTAGAGAAGTGTCAGAAATATATTCTTTCACATCTAATTTTTCTGCCATCTCCTTTTATTAAGTAAATTTTATGACACTAATGATCACATATAATGTATTATAATACCTTATCTGGCAATTAATACAAAGAGAGAAATCTTCTCCAGAATAGCACTCAAGAGACTTTAATTACCTAGTTACCCTGAGGCATATGAAGCAAGTAAAAATTTTAAAGGGCTGAAAGGAAGAAACTTTCCCCACAAGATAATTTTGATGATTTAGAACAGGAGTTGATAAACATTCTTCTGTAAAGAACCAGATAGTAAATACTTTCAGTTACATACCCCAATGGTCTCTCTTAACTACTCAGCTCTGCTATTGAAGCATGACACCAGTTAGTGTACAATACAAAAGCGAATGAATGTGAATGTGTGTTTCAATTAAACTTTATTTACAAAAGCAGGCAGCAGGCCAGATTTGACTCATGAGTTGCAGTTTGCAACCTCTGCTCTAGAATTTATAGTGATTAAAGAGAGTCTGAAACCAAAATTTAAACTTTAATAATACACAATATGTCTTCCAATGCAAATCACTGTACTTGCAGGTACCTCACTGATTCACAGAAAGATTAAATGTATTTTTAAATCTTTTTAGGTTTTCCTGTTTGCCTTTTCTTCTCTATTATATAAGTTATATTGGAAATGTCTAAATCCATTAAAAATTAGATAATTTCTGCCACATTTAATGAAAAATTTAGGAGTGCTGAGGCTGCAGATTACCTTTTTGATTCCACAGTCAAGTTGTGAATTCAATGTAATCTTCTTTTTTGTCAGGATTAGCATGAGAGATTTTACAGAAAAATTTCCCAAAAGAGCGATCAGGTCGAATTCATATAAGAAAGGCATTTTTATCACTAAAACTAATTAATCGATTTATATTATCTTTCTGATTGATCATTTTAAAAGCTCTCCTTATTTGGATATTTTCATTGCACACTAATTTTTGATTATGATTATAACTCGGGCTAATACTACAAGTACTATATATCTGATGTAGTAAATAATTTAGGATGTAATTAGTGTAAATTACAGTTTACTTAATTAGTACATGTAGAGGTAGCCCCTTTGTCCTAAAATGTTTAGAACAGATGAATACTAGGTATTTATAAAGTTTACTGACATCTCTATTGATTTGACACATAAAAATTGGTAAAAAGCATTTAAAATTAAAATATTCTCTGTGGAATTCTAACTTTAATTTTAGTATAATTCTGAGTATAATGTTACTACTCAACAAGAATGGATAACCGATTAAAAACTTATTAATTTCAGATATACAGAAAAAGCTATGTAACCCTATATAGCAATTTATGAATCTATTGTGTTTTATATTGTTAGATAATCCATAATTTATTTGAAAATTAAGCATTTGGAATTTTTTATTCTGTGTTTTTCTGTGTTTTAAAAGACTAAAAAAAAGATGTAAAAAAAAAAAAACTTCATTTCAAACTTTTAATGAATTTGTGAATTTGTTAAGAGTATGGTGATGTCTAATGAAAGACTATCAGACAAAAGACATAAAAGGTAGGACCTAATACAACAGTAGACTTCTTCCTTCAAAGATTTTCAAAACTTCAAGAACAGAAGATTACTTCACAGGCTGAAATTCAAGCTCAGTTGGAAACAAGGTCTATTGGGCTTTTGAGTTGTCTAATGTTGAAAATCTCAAGTTGACTCGCTAGTTTAAAAAAAAAAAAAACCTGGAGAGGGGAAAGGAAAATTTTTATTCTGGAAATGGGTTCTTCTCTGATGCAAATAGAAATCCATCTCCAAAGAAGAAGCAGATGTGAGTTACCCTAATTTAGTCTTTTGGAAACAGAGAAGATTTTGAATTTGCTAAAAAACTTTTGTTTTTCCTAAGTATTAGTTTATAAGCTCTGAGATACCTTTTTTGTGTTTGAAAATTTTCCGAACCCCAAGATATTCATAAAAATTTACTCAAAACACTGAAATGCATTTTCAGAAGAGTATAGGGAATCTCGTTTTTTTTAAAATTTACATAATAAAGAGGTTAGGAATTAGTTGGTGCTTTCATTTCTGATCGTTTATTCACTTTCTTTTTTATAGCTTTTCTATTTGGAGAGATACATTCAAATATTAAAAATATTCCACAGTAAGTGTTATTAATAAAACTTTAAAATCCCAAAGTGGAAGTAATAAATTTCCTACAAATGTACTGATTGAATCAGTTTTAATCCTCTGTGAATTAATAACAGAAGTGAAATAAAATTTTTGAATTCACATTGTCAACTTCAGAGGAAAAGAACACCAAACACTATTCTAAAGAGCGTATTTTAAAATTGGCAGCAATAATGCTGTTGTTTCCCTTTTCTATAAATAATGTGGTAAAAATGATAATAAGCATAACACATATTTATTGAGTTCTTACTATAACTGCTATTTTATTACATGTATTAGCTCATAACAATTCTGTAATGTAGGTATTAGTATTATTCTCCTTAATATATAAGGAAATAAGCAAAGAGAAGTAGAATTTCAGTGCAAATGGAACCTAATGTGATAGTTTGTTATTTTAATAATGCCTCCACATATGGTAACTGGTTAATTGACGAATACAAATGAATATTAGGCTTTTACCATGATTTGCAAGAACATACAGACTAAATGTCAGAGTACACTGATAGTTCTTTTCAAAGTCAATTTGCTTCATGCGGGGACCAGGTATCTCTTAAAAAAGCATTTCTTATTCTCCTTATAGGCACTTCTTATGGTAGCCACATAACTCAGTTTGACAGGAAAGTACTTTTATTTTCAAAATTATTTTCCTTTAAGAAAATCTTCCATGTCAATCAAAGAAATGTTAGTCTAAAATAATCCTATGAATGAGTTTGCTTTGTTATATAATTTCTCATTCAGATTTAGAGCTCAAATAAGGATTGGTCATATACTATTAAGATACTAAAAATGGGAAAACAACCAAAATATCCATTGACCGATGAATGGATAAAGAAAATATGTATAACCAAATACCATTCAGCTTTAAAAATGAAGAAAATTCTGCAATTCAGAACAGCATGGATGATCCTTGAGGGCATTATACTAAGTGAAATAAGCCAGTCACAGAAAGATACATACTGCTGGTTCTACTTCATAGAATCAAAGTGGACCGGTGGATACCAGAAGATGCGGAGAGAGGGAAACAGAAAGTACCCAAACAACGGCATAAAGTTTTGGTCAAGCAAGATGAATAAGCTCTAAAGATTTGCTGTATAACACTGTACATCTATAGTCAATGATAAAGTATTATAGACTTAAAATTTTAAAAGTAGATTTTATGTTGTGTTATTACTAAGATAAAAAAGGGAAGATGATAAAAAAGGATATATCCACAAGAAGTCTTCAATTTATTTCAAACTTATGTTCTTTCACAATTGCAATTACTGTATGCATATAAATTGTACCTATAATTCCTTTGCTGCATGATTACTTTTGAACAAGATTATTTAAAATAAACTCTTTGTGGGTACATATAGAAAGAGGAGTTTTCTGAGAATATAATACTCCTTGAAAAGCCAATTGACTCCTTTGGCTCAGAATTTTCTCTTTGGGAGATTACGTACCTCTCAGGAATTTGAGTAAAAATGCTTTTAAAAACACCCTAAGATAAACTGTACAAAGATTTAATCCCACACAAAATATTTCTGTGAATGGTTAATTTATCAGGAAAGACTACTTAGTAATTTTTCACTCTAATGACAAACTCTCCTTTGTTGAAACCTACTTGTAGCCATCAAGAAATGGGAATTTTCTTTTTTCTTTTTCTTGAGGTGGAGTTGGCTCACTGCAACCTCCGCCTCTTGGGTTCAAGCGATTTTCCTGCCTCAGCCTCCTGCGTAGCTGGGATTACAGGCATCCACCACCATACCCAGCTAATTTCTGTATTTTTAGTGAAGAGGGGGTTTCATCATGTTGGCCATGTTGGCCAGCTGCTCTTGAACTCCTGACGGTGATGTGCCCGCCTTGGCCTCCCAAAGTGCTGGGACTACAGGCGTGAGCCACTGTGCCTGGCCTGATTTTCTTTGTATCATACCAAATTTGACTTCAAGTTAAGAGTATTAGACAGCTGGGAGTGGTGGCTCATGTCTATATTCCCTGCACTTTGGGAGACCGAGGTTGCCGAATCACTTGAAGTCAGGAGTTCAAGACCAGCCTGGCCAACATGGTGAACTTCCATCTCTACTAAAAACAAAAAATAAAATTAGCTGGGTATGGTGGCAGGCGCCTATAATCCAAGCTACTCAGGAGGCTGGGGCAGAAGAATTGCTTGTATCTGGGAAGCGGAGGTTGCAGTGTGCCAGGCTGGGCAACAGAGTGAGATGCTAAAGTACTGTCATAAGCTTTTAGTATACTTCTTGAACTACCAACTGCAGGATAATATCTTACATTGCCTATTTATTTGGTCATTTTGACCAATTAAGTTTAGCTATGTGTCAAATTTTCTCAGACACAGTTTATGTTTGTTTTGTTACGTTATGCAATGCAATATATATTTGCAACATATTTACACACAAATAATGCCTAAATATAATATTTATATGATATATAACATACATTAAACATATAAAGAAAACATCCTAAAACACTGCAGGTAACAATTTTTATTTTCTTATATATGTTAATTTTAGAGAAGATTACAGTAAACATCTAATGTTAAAGAATTTCTTATTCTCTGTATTGCTTAGAGGACTGAAGACTTGTTGAAAAGACAACAAATCAAGTTAGATCCATTATTTTCAGCCTCTGTTCAGACTAACATTAATAAAAGCAAATTGTATGGAAAGGCTATATTTTCAAAGCTTTAATATGCATTCTAAATTCTTATAAGTGTATTCTGAGTTATGGTTTTGAAAGGACACTATGGCAGAAGAGCCTGAATTTGCTAACTGTAATTAAGTCCATTAGAACTACAGTGGTGTTAATACAGTCAGAAAGCTTAAAGGATAAATAGAAATTAAAAATGTATAGCAAATGACCCTAAAAATGTAGAACTGTCTTCTATCTTTATGAGTAAAGTTAAATTGGAAATGATACAGGTCATTTCTAGGAGTCTACCAAGAAATTATTCACTGTTGCTTTCTGCTGACAGATAAGATTTATGTTTGTAGACACAACTATCAGAATATATAATTATATCAGAAAACATCCTTAGATGAAGATTCATAGGTTAGATGACACAGGACATTTTAAATATCTTATAACTTCATGTATTGTATGGAAGTCACTGACTGAGTTTATTGAAGCACAAATTAAAACTCTTCAGGAGATACTTACCCTTTTCTGTTCTTTTATATACTCTATCAATTCATCTCTTGTTGTTTTCACTGCCTCTTCCACAGCCTTTTCACTTCGCTTCTGCTCTTCTATTATTGCTGCCTTTACAGTTTCCTGTTTGCAGGAGAAGGTAAAACAGTCAGGGAGGTAGGCACTATGACATATTTCTGGCCATTTCATATAAACTAAAAATCCTCTTCAGTGGGTTTTAGCTCATTCTATTCAAAGTGTACCTTTACACAGGAATAAGAACTTACAAACTCTTTTGGGATCTATTAAAGATTTCACAGAACTCCATTTCCTAAATTGAGTGAAGGGAAAGGAATGGAATATGCCATTTATTGCAGGGAGTGCCTGACAGGCTCCAATGGCTTCTTTACCAACCTTTCATTTGATGTTTACATGATTCATTGCCTTCCTGTATTTTGCACTATCCACATAAGACTTCCAACTTGTGTTTATTCTTCCAAGAACACTAATGCTCTAGCTGTTTTATTCACGTTTAATTTTGGCATCATACAATAATCAAGTGTGGTCTGAGTGGTAAGATTTACAGCTAGTTTGGTCCTCTTGCCAGGCTAAGATGCTGTGAACTGGACACCATAAGTAAGAGGTAAAAATTCCACCCAGTGTGCTAATATTTGAATGAGAGATTTAGGGAGGGAAATGGTACTCCCCATTTATTGAAATAGTAATCAGGAAACTAATAGATTTCAGCATTGCAAATACAGCAAGAAAGCTAAAATTCTGAAAAACTACAACACCTCTCAGGAAGTCATAATATTTTCTGCTAAAATAGTATATCATGAATTGGAATGAATACCATGAAGTAAAATCTTTTCATTTCCATCTATTGGTACCATCTTTTTTATTGGACATCAAGGCAATCAATTGGAAACTGCCTTGAGTTTCTCAGTCCTTCAGTTTTGATTCTTGAAGGTCCTTCATTTTGTGGAATGCATGTATGACTTTGCTTAGTTGTCCCCAAATAATTTTAGATATTTATATGTAGCTTAGAAAATATAAAATAACATCAAGGATTCTCTATTTCAAATATATTTAATGTAAAAAATTTAAATGTGTGGAAAAATATAAACACAAAGCAACACACACAGAGATATTTACTTTGGACCAATTCAAAAAGTGGAATCATTTTTGGCCAAAGGATATAAACTCAATATATCTTTTGATATTTTGTACAAACTTACTCTTATAAGCAGCACATAAGAATGGCTATTTTCTTGCAACCTTGATAACATTTATTTTTATCAGTTTTTAGAATTCTTGCTTACTTGGGAAAAATGACATCTAATTTTATCCTGTATTTTTAAAAGATTGCTATGTGATGTTGAGCATTTAGTTTATAGAAATATTGGCAATACACATGTTTTCTCTTGTCATTTGCTTGATCATATTGTTTACTGCTTTAATATTGGTATACTTAGTTTTTTATTCCCTTCCTTATAAAATTAACTGAAAATTCTGAAAGTCTTTGAAAAATTTTACTATTTTATTTTCAGTCATTGAGTATATTAGGTATTGGCTCCATTAGAGTACAAAGCTGCTTCCATAATTATCTCAAAAGATTAAAGTTGGAAAACTATAGCAATTTATAAAAAAAACCATGAGAATAAAACTTCAAAATGCAAGCATCTGCTATTATAATTCTTATTTATTTCACACTTGCAAATTTAGAATTTGAAGTTATTCAAATTTAGAAAGGCAAATATATTACATACTTACTAAGCTCTCTGAAATAAAACACATTAATAATTCTGTTGTAAAGAATATGAATATTTACACTATACGAGTAAATTAAAAGCATAAATAGCTTCACATTCGTTCAAGTCAGGTTTTGCTAACAGGTGGGTTACAAATATCCTTAGTTTTCAGGGCTTTTTACAAGTGCAAATAAAAAACTGTCATAAGAAGCATATTAATAAATCTAACCAGGCCTGTTTAATTAAAAGCAAGAATCAATTTAAATGAATGAGCTTTAACCAAAAAAATATGAAGAGTTAGTAAAAGTTATTCAGTTAACACATTTCACGGAGCTGAGTGTTTATATTATTACTACCTTCTCAGTTGAAATTTTTGAGAATATACCATTCCTTGTTTTTGAGTTGGCAAAGTACCATTTATAGTACAAAATTCTCTTGATTCTATCCTCCCCAGCTGGGAGTTAAGTGACAGTCAAAGTTGTGAAGCTCATCCTGAAAAACGGTTCATCTATAAATAATTCCTTTGAATGTGACACAAAAGTAAAGTTTAACCCTCTACTTTCTAATCACTCAATTCTGAATTAGTTAGAATTAATAAACTTTGTTTGCATGTATGCAAGTGGTATGTGAATGACTGCATGATTTGTTGATTCCATAAATGAAATATATCATCCCTAGGAGTCATGACAATTAATCTAAAATAAAACATAACTTGCAAGGAATGAAGACTTTCCAACAATAAGTACATTCAAATAGGCAATTCTGGAAAGTGTTTTTCAAAATATTTTGGTGATAACTCCACCACTGAACATAGTGCATTTTTTTTTCTTGTCTATGAGTATTAACCACATACTTGCACCTAGAAAATGAGTCAAGACCATTGCATTTCCCTCCAAACATGAAACACATTTGCAGTCATCAAATACAATCATTAAAACGTTGTTTGGAAAACTGATCAAACAGGTGATTCTGGAAAGTGTTTTCCAAAATATTTTGGTGATAACTCTACCACTGAACATGGTGCATTCTTTAAGGCAGGCTTTCTCAACCTTGGAACTACTGACAATCCTTTGCTGTGAGAAAGCATTCTGTGTGTAAGCAGCATACCTAATATCTATGCACTAGATGGTTTCCATTTGAGAAACACTATCCTAAGTTGAATAGTTTGGAATGAAAAGTACTCAATTACATATATGTCATTCTGTATTTGTTAAAATACATCAGTCATATTTCTGGTCATACTGGAATGCTTTTATCTAAAAATATATGCAGAAACATCCTACCCAAATGATTATCTAACTAGTGTTTAAATGTGGAGAAAGTTCTATATACTGCTGGGTGCAGTGGCTCATGCCTGTAATCCCAGCACTTTGGGAGGCGGACCACCTGAGGTCAGGTTTTCAAGACCAGCCTGACCAACAAGGTGAAACCCCATCTCTACTAAAAATACAAAAAATTAGCTGGGCGTGGTGGCAGGTGCCTGTAATCCCAGCTACTTGGGAGGCTGAGACAGGAGAATTGCTTGAACCTGGGAGGCGGAAGTTGCAGTGAGCTGAAATCATGCCACCGCACTCCAACCTAAGG